ATACACACTCACGCATAGATACGTCTAACGAGAGTTTCTATGGTATATTTGCGTAAAACTAATTTGGCAATGTAATTTGACAAGCATAACCATATGCACCGTTTAACATAATTTGATAAGACGACAAAACAAAAGGAAGTTTGATAAGAAAAAAAAGCAATCACACATTTATTTCTTCCTGTATTTGCTTGGTAGCATTAGACGAGAAAACGTTGAAGATTTCAATCAACACGAAATAGAATACTATTAGATGGATTCGGTTGTTTACTTTTCAGTTTTATATATCAAATGTACAATGAAATCAAACTATAAAATAGCACCTTGAGATACGTTCGGCTAATAGGCGAGGCATGTGATCACATGGTTAAAAATCGGTCGGTTCTCGTTTATGTTTGTCTTACCGAGTCTTGGTTCATTATCTTCGGCGGGAGGGGATGGGCATGGCGTGGACTTAACTTTATTTTATTAATGATGACTTCTAGAAAACAATAGCCACAATTCTAAAGTATTCGACTCCATTTTGGTCCTATTAGTTACAAATCAAAACAATGAAAAATTATGAAAGATTCACAACTATTTCAGATTTTTCTATGCTTCACGCTTTTCAGGTATTACCGGTTATTATACGGCGGCTTTACGAACACTTAAAAACAATATTTATGTCATAGTCAACTTGAAAAATCACTAGTCAATGACTTAAAGACCAGGAAGTTTCTCTCCGCATTTTGTCTAGAATATCTTCGTTTCTAGTTATGTTCCTAACGTATGTTTTGGAAGGTTTTGTTATCAGAAACTTCAGCAAAGTTTTTTTTAAAGTTCAGCAGACCAAGTCTTAAAATCGTATTTTAATGTAAACAAAAAGAGAAAAGTAAAATTATAGAAGAACATGAAAATATGAGATAGTACGAAAAATCATTAAGAAGATTTTTAGAATCCAATAAAACTAAAATTTAGATCTATGGAATCTAAAATAACGTGATAATTTTAAGTTCACGAAAAAGAACTCTTACTGTATTATTTCATAATATTGTGTATATTCTGCAAAGTTTACCATAGAGTTTAATAATCTACTTAACATTTTTGAAGTACAAATTTGCTCTTTCCAATCGGGTCGGATTTTTTGTGATTTTGACCCGGAAATCTTAAATCGGATCTTTCCTTATTTTTTGGCAAAATTCAAAAACAAAATTAATTAATAAATTCTAAAAATATATATTTTCTCAACTAATTACTACACCCAAACCCTTTATTTATGGCATATTCTTTCTGATATTTATATATAAGGAAACCAAATATGATGATTTAATGCTAATATAACAAATTTGAGCTAATTTCCTAAAACTACTCTACCTAATTTAAACAAAAATATATGATTCTCATTTCACTTTTATTTGATTTATATTTATATTATTTTAAATTATTATAAAATATATATAGTTAATAAAATTTTAGATTTTTTTCTACATATGCTATGTTTCAAATTTTTTAAAACGGACATATATTACTCAATCAATAAAGAAAAAAATATATGTACAATCTAAAGTACATATTTGCTCTTTTTTTTGGGTCAGTTTTGTTTTTTTTTTTAATTTTGACCCTCAATTAAGTCTTTTGGATACAAATAATGAGACTTTCCAAAAAAAATCCTAGCAATTTAAATGATTGATTTCGTATATATATATGTAGTTATTACTAAATATATATCTACTTAACATTTTTGAATTACATTTTTGCTCTCTCATCGGGTCGGATTTTTTTTCTGATTTTGATCCGGAAATCTTCAATCGGATATTTCCTTAAATTTTGGCAAAATTCAAAAACGAAATTAATTAATAAAATCTAAAATATATATATATTTCTCAACTAATTATTATATCCAAACTCTTAATTTATGGTATATTCTTTACGATTTTTATAGATAAGGAAATCAAATATGATGATTTAATGCTAATATAACAAAATTTGAGCGAATTTCCTAAAATCTCTCTAATTAGTTTAAACATAAATATATGATTCTCATTTCACTTTTATTTGATGTTATATTTAAATTATTTTGAATTATTATAATATATACATATAGTAAATTTTGGTTTTTTCTGCATATGTTATAATTCAAATTATTTTTAAACAGACATATATTACTCAGTTGATGAAGAAAAAAAGTATGTGTGCAATTTATATTAACATTTTGAAAAACAAATTGCGCAATTAATCAGGTCGGTTTTTTTTTTATTCTGACCCGAAATTGAGTCATTCGGATCTTTTCTTAATTTCTACAATTATCTAAAATGGGAGAATATACCACGGGTGAAATCCTAAAATTAACAAATCAAAATACAATTGTAAATTATTTTTACGGGTTGGTCCAAAAACACTTAATTTAAAATATATATATATATATATATATATTTATATATATTATGAAAACCATTTGAAAGCAAACTTTTAAATTGATTCGAATTATATGTCTTTTAAATAAAAGTGTTATTAAAAAAATTACAAAATGATGTTTAATTTCACAGGACGGAATTATATGGTGGGATGGGTTTGGGTCGATATTAATATGGGACAATATACCACGGGTGAAATCCTAGAATTAACATATCAAAATACAATTATACAATCTTAAACACTAAACAAAATAAATACAACTTAAATTTTTTTATGTTTTAGATACAACGCATATGATCCGCGGTATACAACAGAAAATATTATACACAGCAAATTCATTAGTTTATAAAAAGAATTAAAAAAAAATCAAATAATTAACCCGCGGTGTACCGCGGGTCATATCCTAGTTATAATACTATAACTGATATGTTAATCGTCACGGATTCATCTCGTTTCACCTAGTCGACCTTCTACAGTATATAATATTTATTTTAAAATAACATCAAGTTATTTAAAGACACATACAAAGGAAAAAGAAATGACAATTAAGTTGATTTAAACATAGATACATATAGAAACCAACATACTCCAATATACTACATTCACTTTTGGTTTTGAAAAATATATTTTCTTCCTTTATTAAAAGATCTGGTGTACACAATTCCTACAAATAAAAAAATCTGACACCAAATTTTCTTAGGATTGATCACATCATATTTAATAAGCTTCGTTGTATTTTTAAAAATGGTATTATGATTCTTATATGTATTGTATATATGTATATATAAATAAACAAAATACAAGTATACTGAAGACACGTTTATAGAATAAAAATCTCAAATTTAACAATGATTGATATATATAAAAGAAAAAGAAAAAATAACAAGCTAATCCAATAATCTATATATACATTTTTAGAGTACACTTAGCAAATAAATCCTGGAGTTCCACCTTATTTACGAGTCCATGCCATTGACATTTATTATTACTTTTACAAAATTTAAATAAAAGATATTAACCAAACAATATCTTGCCTAATTTGTTTCTAAAAATCTCTACACCATCTTTCCATATATCTTCAAAAAACTTTTATAGCAAATATTTATATTAACATTTTACATAGCAATAAAAATACTAATTTATAATAATCAAAATATTCACATAGAAAAATCATATACACATACAGAAAAAAAAAACTATATATATCATCATTTAAGCCGTTGTTTTATTTAAATTAAAAAAAAAACACAAAAACTTGAAATCATATACTTTATATGATAAATTTAAAATATATATTAGTAGTATAAATTTAAAATCGTTCAAAGAACGGTATACCACGGGTGAGATCCTAAAATTATTAGATTTTATAACAATAATAATTTATTTTCTTGGATTTTATAACACTAATAATTTAGCTAACGAGATAATATAGACGGGTTTATATGGGATGACGGGTTTGGGTCGATATTAATAAATAACGGTATATCACGGATGAAATCCTAAAATTAACAATCAAAATACAATTATACAATCTTAAACACAAAACAAAATAAACAATATTAACAAAACAAATCCAACTTAAATTTAAAATTTTTAGTTATAAAAAAACCGACCCACGGTATACTTTAGAGTAAAATATTCAAAATTTTAAAATCCACCATACATCGTTACTTAAAAAAAAATGTATGTTTTCGTATCTATACTTCAAAAATTGATAGATGGATATCTACATTTAAAAATACAAATTAATATGATATATCTTCAGTTAATCTTTAAAAAAATAACATTACATTTTTTAAAAAAAACTATAGCCCCGCGGTGTACCGCGAGTTAAATTCTAGTTATATATTCATTTTTGTTTGCCAGCAATTCTATATTCATTTTTGTTTGCCAGCAATTCTATATTCATTATTCCCAAGTCCAGCGAGAAAATCACAATTCTATAAATGAATAACATACCACTAGTATTTATCTGAGCATCACCCTCCTCGTCATCATCGCTTTGTATCGTTCCTCGATCTATTTCTCACACTTTTTTCACTTAAGGGGATGCTCTATTTGTAGTACTCATGCACCTGAATGAAACGTTTCAAAAATAAGTCAAAACTACAGTTACAATCTTATAGACCAATAATAATGTAAAGTACTACTTATAGTTATTGAATTCATTTTTTTTAATAATAAGGGTGTCCATGTGTGGATGCAGATAATAAAATAATTATTACATTTAAAAAATCTATCAGACATATAATCGACACAATAATGTGTGATTAATTTGGTCATGAAGATAATAGTGTAATTAACTGATTAAACCTTTCTTAATAAAGGATCCGTCCAATGTGAGCGATGGAATTAAGGACTTAGAAGTCAGCTTTACAAGCAACGACACAAAAACAAATGGACGTAGGATGTCAGTACCAAAGACATCACCACCATTTGATTTGTAAACTATGTGATGTACGTCAAGCTATCAATTTTAAATTTTGTTTTTGTTGTCACGTCTTTAGCGGGAAGGAAAACGAAGGATACAATACTATCGTCGGCACAAAAGTTCCCCACGCAAAATCCTTCTTTGAAGGAACCAGACCACTGTTGAACAGTTTGTATAATTAGGAGGAGACAAACTCAATACAAGAAAAGTATAGTCGAGGTGTAATTTATCAAACAGAAATTTTTGAAATACATAAATTATCCATTACAAACCAAATAAAAATTAGTTCAAACTGAGTCCTCGATCATCCCTCGGAACACAAAAGACAGAAACGGTAAATAAATAAAATAAAAAACGATCTTATCATGGGCGGCCACGTCGGGTGGGACGCCTATTAAAAAGAAGTACCTGAGTCGTCCGAAATACTTTCCTCGAGCGTTTTCGCTTTGGAATCTGCGACATGTGTTTTGAAGAAATGAGTATTTTGGACAGTGAAAACCATCAATTAAAACTTGCCTTAGCCATTGATTCCTCGTCACTGTCCTCGTCACTGTCCTCGTCACTGTCGTGGGGGTTTGGCAGACTAGACTTGGAAATAAAAATCTCCTGTTGAGAAACTCTCAAATAGTTAGACAATGAAAAATTGCAAACTGATACAAGCAAGCAAGAGGGAGATGAGGGATGAACTTACCTTTTGTTTATGTTCTTCAGAGGAGAGATGGCTGGTGAAATCTGTCACGCTTAGGCCAGTGAAGTCGCATGACTTGCAAAAAAACGACGAGGCAGAGTCACCCGAAGCAGTGCACGTGCGAAGAACATAACTTGTTGTCTCCTGAGACCTCGCCAGTAGGGTTTGCCAGAGCCACTCTGCAGTATGGTACAGACGTGACATACTCTCAGGAGTATATGTACGTGCCAGAACAAGGTTGTAGTAACGGCTTTGTTGAGCCAGAGAAAGGCAGAGAGACAAGTGTTCCACTCTATCAGATATGAGCATTATTGTAGCTGGTGGCGGATTATGCGCTTTGAAATGCGTCAAATTACTAAATATATATGCGCCTACCCTTCCTGTACGAATAAAGGCAAAGGAGAGTTGAAGAAACCAAACTCTTTTAAGTTTTAAAAAAAAAGTAAAAAATAAATTCTGGAGGATTAATAACAAACTGGTGTGTTGAACAAGGATTCGAGTGGAAGAGAGCCCCTGCAGGACGTGAGGATGTGCATTTTCCAGGTTTCCCATGGCAGTGATGGTTATAGGACCACAGTATCCCAAATCCTTCAAGGCCCCTTCTATACTTGGACGCACCCTGCGAGCATCATAACCATCGGGAACTGGACATGTGTCCATGTCCCACCACACAGCCGTTTTAGAATTCACGTACTCAGGCGCCGCTTGGTCGTTCATCTAAAACATCAATAGACCAACAAGTTTCATGCACGTTTGGGGTATATACCATAAATAAAAACCAAGTATTAGTTAAAACTTGCCTTTGCCGTTATGAAAGGTGAGAAGTCTGGCACACTAAAATTCCTAATAGTCTTCTTCTCCTGTTGAGAGAAACTCAAAATAGTTAAGACAATGAAAAATGTATCTGATACAAAGAGAGAGAGAGAGATGAGGATGAGCTTACCGTCTTTTTATGTTCTTCAGTGGAGAGATGACTGGTGAAACTTGCAACGCTTAGGCCAGTAAATTTGCATGCTCTGCATACAAACGAAGACAAGGCAGAGGACGAACTGCATTTCCGAAGAACATAACTTGTTGTTGTGTCCTGAGACACTGAATCTGCCGCCGCCTCCAGTAGGGTTTTCCAGCGCCAATCTGCAGTATGCTCGATACGTGACAGAGTACCACCAAATGAACGTGCCCGAACAATGTTGTATCCCCTACGAATTTGTTGATTCCGGCCAAGAGGGAAAGACAATTCTTCCTCCACCTTATCGGATATGAGCATTATTGTAGCTGGTGGTAAATTATTGCTTTTGAATTCCATCAAATCACTGAAAATGAGTGTGCCTACGCAATCTGTGAAAGCAAAGGACAGATGAAGAATCCACAAACTTCCAAAAAAATTAAAAAAACTCCAGAGGATTAATTAACTAACCGGTGATGGCGTGTTGAACCACGATTCCAGTGGAAGAGAGCCTTTGCAGGAAGTGAGCAGTTGCTTCCTTCAGGTTTCCCATGGCTGTGATAGTTACAGGACCATAGTATCCCAACTCCTTCAACGCCCCTTCTATTATCGGACGGACCCGACCAGCATCATAACCATCTGGAACCGGACAGGTGTCCATGTCCCACCACACCGCCGTTTTAGAATTCGCATATTCAGGCAACGCCTTACTCAACATCCCTACCTAATTTTTTTTTGACAAGCTCAATTTCTCGCTACAAAACAACATTTAAGCTATGGAACAACGAAATTCAAACAGAAATTGAAAAACCATTTTAGCTTCAGAGGACTGAAAGGATCTAGAGCTGGAAACCTTCTGGAAATTGTTGTTTCGGCGAGAGAAAGAAGAAGGAGGCGAGAGTCTCTGAATTTTGGCTAAGTGTGCTCTAGGGTTAGTACTTTTAGTTAAAAATAAATTTGATTTGGGTTTAAATAAGTTTAGTCTAAACTTATAACCGTAAAGCCAAAATTACCTCGCGGTGCACCACATGTCACTATCTAGTTTGATTATTATGCTGAAAAGGGAAAAGTTTTCCTTGCATAGTATATTGGACCACAAACCGGTACAAGTACTTAACCAACATTACTAAATCGATTGCATATTGTATCTTATTATATAAAGTTGGGTTTTCGAAGTTAGTAACTCAAGAGATCGCGACACGTGTCATATTTATCGGTTATAGATGTTGACACATGTCAAAAAAATATTTGTTTTTAACAATTTTAAATATGTAAAAAGATAATTATGAGAAAATATTAAAATTTAAATAAATTTGAAAATAGAAAAAATAATGTTAAGAAAATTATAAATAAAATAATTTTAAAAATATAAAAAGATAATGTTGACAAAGCTCAGAGGAATGAATTTTCTCTACTTCATGTAAAGTGATTTTTTAAAAAAACTATGTCGATAATTACGGGTAAATATATGTATTTTTAAAATATATCGTCGAATTAATTAAAAAAGAAACCTAAAATTTTCATCCCTACTTCATGAAAAGTAAATTTTTTTAAAAAAACTCTTTCGATAATTACAGGTAAATATATGTATTTTTTAAATGATGAATTTTCCCTACTTCATGAAAAATGAATTTTTAAAAAAACTCTGTCGATAATTACGGGTAAATATATGTATTTTTTAAATATATCGTCGAATTAATTAAAAAAAAAGCCTAAATTTTTTACCTCTACTTCATGAAAAGTGAATTTTTAAAAAAACTCTTTCGATAATTACGGGTAAATATATGTATTTTTTTAAATCTATCGTCGAATTAATGGAAAAAAAAAATTTAAAATTTTCACCGCATTTCAGTTTATACCTTGATATGTATTCATATCAGCTCATATGGATTTATTGCGTTTTATAACTGTTAATATAAGTTTATAGAATTGAAAAAAAAATTATAGAAATTATAATTATGTTTTTATTATGGTTATAAATTTGGAGGATGTGGAAAAAACCATATGTATCGATGCATGAAGATTTCAGTAATGTTTCAACTGATTGGTCTAGACGTTATCATCGTATGATAAAGTAAGTTTTGATCAAAAACTAATTATTTTGGTATTGGTTATATGTTTTAATAATTGGTGTCGAACTATTTTGTTAACGTTTAGTAGGTTGATACTCTATGATTTATTTTATTGGATAAATGTATAATATGTTTTACTTTTGATGTGATTATTTAGGGTTAGTGTACTAATGTTTTTGTGGATGCGAGGATTTAGAGACGTTTGATATGTTTATTGTGTTATAATAGAGGTTTTGATCTAAATGTGATATTTTTGTATGCTTTTACACGTTTTGATAAGTTACAAATTCTTTTGTAAACGTTTATGAGGTTGATACGTAAAGATTGATTTCACCGGATGAAGATATAAAATTTTGAAACATGAATGATAATGTAAAAATATATAATTAAAATATATGAAAATAATTAATAAACAAAGAGAAAATTAAATTAGATAATTTATAAATACTTTATAGAATATCTAATTTTATTTTTTATACGGGTTACAAAAATTTTAGTTATAAACCCGCGTACGCTGGTCCTAATTTTATTTTCTTACACGGTTTATAAATTTTTTGTTTTAAACCCGTGTATACGCGGGTCCTAATCTAGTTATTAATAAAAGATAGGATAGATAGGATAGATAAGAGGGTCCGAATGGTAACCGCATTTTTTGTAGTGCGGAGAAAGCAGTATTACAGTGCGGTACGGTTTCAACTGCGGTACGTACGGGAGAAATATATTTGAGGTACAAAAAGCGGTACAGATTATAGATTATATATATATATATATATATATATATATATATACCGTTAATACACAAATTGATTAAAATATAAATTTAGTTTTTAACATACATATTGTAAATATTATTAATTGTTTTAAAATAAATAAAATTTTATTATAATATACCAATTTTATTTATCTATATACAAATAAATAAAATAATACAAAACCTGTTACTACAATAAATTTTGAATTAAAAAACTGTAGATTAATAAATATTGAATTAGATATTATTACAATAAATATTGAATTTGATATCAGAATTTTTAAAAAAAAATTTCTTGTATTTTTTTTGGAATTTTTATAAAAAGAAACATTTAGAAATGATATTGTATCACTGATATTAGTATATGTGATTTGTATGTGAGTTGAATTCCTCCTATATGTTTAGGCCAGTAATTAGCGATGTTGCAAAATATTCAAGCGATGTCATCAGTTTGTTCATCCTTTTAAGGCGTGTAACAAATGAACAATCTACTTAGCATCAAATGACGAATACAGTCAAGGAAATGAAAGACACTAAAGGAAACGTTGATAAGAAGATAAGAACCTCCCAGAGAGTAGCTCATGG